AGAAAGATACTCTTGCTTCATCGAGTGGACATTTCGAAAATTACCCCATTGCCTCAAAATTATGCCTTTCCGAGTGTTGACTATGATTTTCTCTTTGAAGGTCTATTCGCTAAATTTCCATAAATATCCTAAGAATCTTTTGAATTTGTAATTCAACATCAGTGAACTCTTTAAGCCTGTCCTCTTTTGTTTGCTTGCAATGGCTGCTAGTCGTCCTTTGATTGTACCGGATGACTTGTCAGGTAGGGCAGCATAAGTCTTTTCCTCAAGGGCTGAAAGAAGTCTAGCAAGTTCAGCTCTGGAATCAGCCAATGACACAAGAAGTCGGAGCCCTGGACTTGGAAGCCTGATCAACTTTTCTCATATCCAAGTATTCTTGCTCTAACTGAGAAGCAGCATCCTATCATGCCCTCTTCACTCTCACCAACCTCATTCCATATGACCTGCTGTTGCTTATATCTCGTGTCTCGTCAAGATCCCGCTCCTTATACCTCAACACAACCCACTCAGACCACTTTCCTTGCTTCCTTGTATTCGTCAAAGCAAGAGCGGCTCATTGTTTGTAATAGGGAGGAATACGGGAGTTTAGGATAGGGCTTGTACGTTTCGATTGCGTCATTACTGTTATTGTTCCCTTGTTGTAATAGCTTCACGAGAAGACTGGCGCGAAGGGAAGGAAGAACGGGTAGGGAAGGAAGAGCGGTTTGAGCTATGGCACAGAAGAACAAGCAAAAGACTTTTGTTCGTGTGGCTATAGCGGAAGGACAGAGAGGCGACATTAGCGTCTTTCAATAGGAAGAATATTAGAGTTTGGAGGTCCTTACGCGCGGTGATCCCTTTGTTGTTCACGAAAGTTGGCGAGGGCTTCAACGTGAAAAGACGAAGACTTGGAAGGGATTATGATGTGGTTTTTTTTTTAGGACGAAGAGGATCGGACGACTTCTATGTACGGGGTGCCGAGTGGAATGAGATAAATATAGGAGTTTTGGAGTTCTCTGTGTGCCTCGTACCTGTAATTGCTTCCCGCTGGCTTTAATCGTGACTATTTCACAGGTGAGGCAGGCGAACAGTGGGAGTGGGCGACATCTACGTACGGGATGCGGAGAAGACGGGAGTTTGAAGGTCTCTGATCCTCTTATTGCTTTTCTGAGCGTTGAAGGAGAGAAAAGACGGGAGTTCGAAAGTTTTTGTATGCAATGATCTCGTCGTCGTCTTTCCCAGGTGTAAGAGAGAGATACATGATTTTTGAAGGTCTCCATATGCTTTGATCCCATTGTTGCTTCCCGCTACAAATAGGGCAGGTGAGGATTTCCGACAGGAAAGGGGACCAGACCAATAGAGGCGTAGACAATGTATCGTTTACGAGGCGAAGCAAGGGGTTAATTAATTATTTCTTTTTTTTTTAATTTTATTTTGAGCATCAACATTTACCTCTTCAAATAATAATAGATATATGAAGGTCACTAGGAGAAGGATCCATTGAAGATGAGGATGTTGGTGTCGGACTGGGAATTTAGGATCAGGAGGACGAGGTAATCTCGAGTATACATTGATGATAGATGGTCTAGGTTGAGGCATTGGTGGAAATAAAGTTGAACTGATGATGTGATAAATTAACAATTCATTGGAATACAACAACAACAACAAAACCATTATCCTATTAAGTGGGGTCGGCTACATGAATCCCTTTTCTCAATTGTGTCCTATTTAGTGTCATATTTTCATTTAATTCTAATAAATTAAGATCATTTTTTATACAATATGCCAAGTCATTTTTGGTCTACCTCTACCTTTCTTAACATACCTCGAATCTAAAACATCTACTCTTCTAATTAGATCATCAGATGGAAGACATTTAATGTCACCAAACCATCTAAGATGACTCTCTCTAATTTTGTCTGTGACGGGAGCTACACCAACCCTATCACGGATATGTTCATTTTGTATTTTGTCTCTAAGTGTATAGCCACTCATCAACATAATCATTCTCATCTCCACAACACTTAGTTTTATGATTCTCTTTTAAAGGCCAACATTCAGCACCATAGAGCATTGCAGGTCTCACCACTATCTTATAAAATTTTCGTTTCAGTTTAAGCGGTACCTTTCTATGACACTATAGGGCCAACCAACCAACTTGAATTCTACTAATAACTTCTCTATCATTATCACCATCACTTTGAACAATAGACTCGAGATATCTAAAGCGTTCACACCTTAAATTTTGATCACCCATAATTACATTTTGGTCACGAGCTACTACTACATCAGAATCTTATAAGGAATTAGGCAGCGATGAGTCACCAAATAATGGGGTCTGTTCATGAAAGGTGACATCGACAGAGACCATGTACTTTCTTAATAGGAGTAACATTTATATTCTTTTTGCAAATGAGAGTACCCTTGAAAGATACCTAAGTGACTGGGTTACAGTTTAGAAACATGTGGATGAGCGTCCCGAGCAAAACAAATACACCCAACTAAACGTGGTTCAATGGGAAAGAGAATTGGTTGAAAATAGAACTTCAGGGTAGTTGATGTTGTAAGACAATAGAAGAAATCTGATTGATAAAAAAATATGCAATAGAAACTACATGAATCCAAAACTGTATGGGTACATTAGTTTGAAACAAAAGAGTTTTAATTGTCTCAAGAAGCTGTCTATTTTTTTATTTCAGCTACATTATTTTTAGGATGAAATATCAACACAGGTTGATTGCTGAGCATGCCGTTTTGTGTTATGTATGTTTGAATAGGTGTCGAGAAATATTCTTTGGCATCTAACTTCTCATAATATTGACAGAAACGTTGAATTGAGGTTGACTTTGAGCACAAAAAGATTGAAAATGTGATGATAACTCGGAATGAGATTTTATCATATTAAATCAAGTCATACGAGAAAAATCATCCATAAAAGTGAGATTCATTAGATAAAACAGGATAAGATCGCCATACATCAGAATAAATCAAAAAAATTGACTAAACCTTTATTAATTTTGGGAACAAAAGATAAATGATGGTGTTATTCAAATTGACACAACTCATAATCTAAAGATGATAATTACTTAGACTTAAGTGAGAGTATAATTGTTTAGCTTTGGTAATGATGGATGCCCTAATCGTCAATAGACCTCAAATGGAGATGCCGTGTTGGAATAGCCCATGACTGTTCATTATCAACTTTGCTTTAGCATTCTTGAGGCACTCTTCTTCCCCCCCCCCCCCCCCCCCCTCGCGCACTGTTCTCGTCCTTCAAAAATAATCTTCTTCATCATAAAATTCTGAAAAAGTCAATGGTCAAGGAAGGATAAGATAGAACAATTAAGAGCACATGTAATCTTGCTAACAAAAATACGATTATAAGAGAATTGAGGTAAACTATGGACAAGTTAAATATAGTATTGGTGTAATATTAATGTGCCAAAACTAAGAACATTAGGGATAGATTCATCTGCTAAATTGATGGAAGCAAATATTTATGAAACTTGAAAAAGAGTTTTGGATTATCTGTCATGTGATTTGTGGCACCCAAATCAATGACCTATTATGTAGAAGAAGAAATAAGACAAGTGTCATTGTTACTTGACTCGTCAAGGGCAGTGATTGAGGGATCTTTATTAGATGCTTCTTGAAATTGAATGAATTTAGCATATTCCTTTGCAGAAATCGAGAACATCTAATTTTGAGAGTCCTTATTAATAGTGACCATGTTAACTGACTGTGATTTTGAACTCTTCTGGTTCTTTTTTTAGTTTCTTTTTCACGTATTTTCTTCGTATGAGCAAATTCATGACAGTTGTAGCACACTTTACCCTCGAGTATTGATTTCTAGAATTCGGAGTTCCACATTCATAATTATTCTGAGACTAAGGTTTACTGATGTTTGTATTTTCCTTACTAGCAAGAGAACTTTGTTGTTGTATGGATGAAGCTTGAGAACTTGGAATTTGGAATAGTTCGCAATATTCTAGTATATGTTTTCTTTAGAGTAGTAACTTCAGGGTCAGATAGGATCTTTTGATTTGACACATTAATGTTGAGAGCTGAGGTAAACTAGAAAACTCATAATAGTCATTTATTTTTATCGATCCTATTGAATCCGAACAACATTACTAAAGGAAATAGTGCATTCACTTCTTTATAAACATGTTTAAAGTGCATACTATATGTGTTAAGTGATTGATCTTGTTGTTCAGCTTGATAGAACTCCTTGGTTACATCAAGATTTGAGAAATATTTTCTCTTAGAAACACAAATGTCAATTCCTCCTTCGGATCTTTAACACAATAACAATGAGTAATATAGTCAGATTGATCATGTTCGATAGAGTTTCATATTTGAATCAATAGCTCGACATCAATTTTTATCCACTCAGAATAATTTGAATCGGTCTTAGTTGAGAGATTGTCAATAACCAAACTAGTCACATGTTTTTATTCCACAACCATGATTATTCCAAAATATTCAATGAGATCGAATTGTTTCTAAAAGGAACGAAGTAGAGGAACGCCAGAGACTATCGATATTGAGCCGTAGGAGACAACCGACTCCACAAACAGTGAAGTCGACAAAGTTGTCGAAGTCAAACTAAGCAGTCGACGATGTCGACTTGAGTAGATGAAGCCGGTGAAGACAATGAAGCAGACGACGCCGATCAGGATGAAGATGAGACAAACTGTAGCAAAATGATGCATACAGCTTTGATAACATGTAATGGGAAAATTTCCTTTCTTCTTATTTCTTAATTAAAAGCATATGTTAGATATTTTTGCATACTCATATCTTATAGATTAATAATATTTCTAATATAGAAAAGACCTTGTAATTAGATTTCCTCTAATTTGGTACCTAATGTCAAACTTCTAATATACACGCTTCTTATTATACAACTATTAGATTTAATACTTTTCATAACAGTAAAAGCCCCTTTATAAATTTGGGATGGCATGTTTAAGTCTTGAAAACAAATCCATTGATGAATTGACATTGTTTGATTTCAGCAATCATCATTATTGATGATTTCTCGAACGCATCAAACTAATGATGAGGGTCAACCGCATGAAAGCTGTTAAATGCCAGGTACTTTACTATGTGAACCTACCATTTTTTATTTAATTGAATTTTTACATTTTCAGTATTTTTTTTTTTTTGTTTTTGCTGGTATTTGAGATAATATATGTTAGTCAATATTAGCTCTTACAGGACTGCGGTTCCTTGAAATTCTGTACTGTAGAAACTATTATGACATCCTAAAACAGTATTTATTTCCAAAAAGTTGGTAAATTAAGATTTGTTAAAGCTATACAATTTAGTGCTTCATCAATCTTCACTCTTTGTTTTCTTCTTTTATGTATTTTCAGGCTGCAACCTTGAGTTTAGGTTCAATGTTTGAATAGCACACATTAATGGGGATGTGTCACACCTCAATCCAAAAAGTGGTACATTATGACAACATGGGATATAATGAAGGGATTTCATATAAATTTATGAGATAAATTTATTGAGTCAAGAACTAATAAATCAATTTTCTTTTTGAAAGAAAAAATATTCAAATATAAATAATGCAATATCACCGAAATAGTCATAAATGCAAGAAATGAAAATTTATGGGATGAATGAAATCGCTAGCAGTTTTTCATCATGGAAAACTAAAACCTTTGTTAACTAACATTGAAGTAAGTATGTAATAACTGACCTAAACTTTAATAATACTCTAAACTGCTATTACTGAAGAATTTGGTGAAGTAAAATCTGATAGTACGTATTAAGAAAAAATATTCACAAATGAGCTTTGCCATGCAAACTTGGTATATTCTTTCTTTGTTTCCTTTATTATTATTTTTTTAATTTTTTTAATAATTTTCTTTTTTTTTTTTTTTTTTTTGTATCAAAGCATAAAATGACAATATTGAGCAAATATTATGGACAGTGAAAGACGTGTTTCTATTGTAAGCTTTTTCTGTATGTAATTGTCCCTTGTTAGAATCATGTTAGTTTCATAAATATAAATAGAGGAATATTGCTTCGTTTTTCATCCTTACTGCCATTTCTGTTTGACAAATTTGTTGTGCAATTCCTGTTGTGCTTGACTTGGGATTTGATAATCCTCTAAATCAGCTTTCCAATCATCTTTCCACCATAACCAACCTGGAGAACAGGAAGATCCAATTAAAGTTCCGTTGGAGGTTCGGCAAAACATCGAGTGATTAATTTCATGAGCTTTCTGCTTCCATTTTTAGGTGAAGATTCTTTGTAATTTACATCAAAATGCTCCTTAATTAGTGGAATTGATTCATGTAAAATTTAGAAGGCATTGTTGATGTATTAAATTAACAACATCAATGTGTTGTTGAGGTCTATTTTAAGCACATGACCGGGGCCATTGTTTGTTCAATGTTGTTTAATTGAGTTTACATGAATTACTACTTGGGTCATCTTTAGGTTTTATAATTCAATCATAATGTGACTATAAGATGTAATTTTTGTCATTTATTAATAAAAATATCAGAGAATATTCTATATGATGCCAAATAAAATGCATTGGTAAATGTATAGATAAAGCCTATAGCTCGTTCAGCTAACATTCACTATAATGGAGAATGTTTTAAGATTTTTTTTAATTTTGTTTTTATTTATTATTTTTTTTATGATGTTCTCACCAGGTGATCTTGTTAATTTTAGTGATTATGAATGCTCGCATATTATGACAGCATCTAAGTATTTGGGACATGTTACTTAGTGATTTGTCATGATTGTTGACATTGAAAGAAATACAGTCAATTTTTTTTTAACTGATATAAGAGTGACTTCTCAAATATTTGGCAATTTTGCTCTAAAAATTGTGTTGTATTTGAAAAAATTGATGCTGAATGTCAACTTTCGCCATTCACTACATCAAAAATGATTTTAACATTTCAATCATTCTTCCTATTTAAGTGTGACTGAGAATTTGTTGAATTTTAAAAGAATTTTAATTTTTAATAAGTTTCCTGAGAAATATTTTTTAAAAAATGGATTATATGCCTCTTATTTTATTTTTTAAAAGGAAAAATGTGACAATTTACTCACCTTTTTAAAACAATTATAAATGTGGTTTAATTGACATTTTGAAGTTGTTGATATCTAAAATTATATGCTTTGATATATGAATAATAAAGATTATGTTTTAACAATTCTTTGATGATAGAAGCTATGTAATGTAGGAGTTGTGGAAGTTGTGGTTGCGGGAAGATTGAATCGATGATTATTTTTATATTTTTTTGAGTTTCTTTTCATTCCCCCTTCATTTTTAGTTTTTTTTCTATATAAGGTTTAGATTCTCAGGTTTTGGATGTGTTTTGTATCAAGATAGTCGTTGGCGTGTCTTCTTTTTTTTGAGGGTTTTATCCTAAGAATTTAGCTCAATTTCTCGGTCTCGAAGAAGTGTTTATCTTCTCTATCCTCTTCCACATTCTCCCCCACATTGCTCTCGATCGTACTCCCAAACAACCGCACTTTTATGTTTTCCTTGTACTTTTCTCATTTTAGCCACTCATCCTCACTGTCGTCACATTGGACAATTGTCCTTTTACTGTCATGTAGTCCCTTGCATTTCCAATCACTTTTGCCGACATTCTCACTCTTTGTAGCCATTCGAAGATAGTTTTTTTCCTATTGCTATGTTCGACCATCCATTCTTCTCCTTCTAGGTTGTTGCCCTTAATGCAACTGCTCCCCTTTGTTGTCTTTGCCCTCATACTTTGTCATTGTCTTGTTTTCCAGCCCTCACCTACTCTGTTTTACCTCGTTAGAGGGCCAAGCCCTTTCCAATCACCACCACCATCCTAAGATTCACTGGAGTTTGAATATTTATGTCGTGGTTATTGTTATTTTACATTTTTTGATGTCATTTGCTGTATTTTTCATTTTAAGTGTGTTGTTTGTAACTGCCTACCTGTTTGAAGTAAAAATATTTATTTTTTCTATCGTGGTTTGAGTTAACTCTGGTATCATTTGGTACTAAAGTTGTATGACCCTAGTTTTATCCTAGGGTTTCTAGCCCCTTCCCCCAAAATTTTGTTCCTTCTACCTTACACACCTCCTTCCATCTACCTACACTCAAAACTCTAACCACGATCCCAATGAGACAATTGTCTAAATCCAATTAAGACTTTACCTTAGAAGAGACACAACGATAACTTCGTCGACTACAATAACTCAATAAAATTAAGAAAAGGAGTATCATCCACTGAGGTCACCCAAACTCTATTCGATTATAGAGATGAAGTGTCTGTTAGAGGATATGAATGTGAAGTGCATGTTAGAGATTTTAGAGATGAAGAGCCTCTACCTTGAAAAATTAAACTGAAATATCTTAGAAACCATGATTTTGAGGTAACGATGGATCTGCCACATTTTGACGATTACTTGGATCTGTACAAGTTCATTGAGTTTATTTAGATCTTGAAACTTTTTCTTAAATACCATGATCTCCCATCAGACAAAATGGTGAACTTTTATCTTCTTTTAATTTATCAGTGGCTAGCTTAACTTGGTGGCAAAATCTGAAACACCTACGCCAACGTGAAGGAAAAGATAGGATCGTTAATTTGTCCAAGATGAAACAGGAAATGTGTGCTAGTTCCCATTAGCTCACTGTAGACAGCATATTTAGATCACAGTTTCAAAAGTGGAGGGATTGCATCACCATACGACCACCACATGTTATAGGCATGGTTCAACCTCAAGAACAAGCAGCAACAGTACACCTAATGTTAAAGTCGGCCTCATCTGAGAAGACACTAGTTCAGTGTGGGGAATAGGTGGAACCAATCCGAATTCACAAATCTGCTCCAACCAAGAAGTGTTTTATGTGTCATGGATTTGAGCATATTGAATGAGATTGCCCAACCAAGAGTGGTCTTTTTCACTAATCAGGGAGCTGCTGAAGAAATGTGTAATGACACAATAGACAATGAAGAAGGTGAGAACATAAAGGATGAGTACTATATTCCAACTTATGAGGGAGAAATGTATGTAGTTCAAACTGTGCCCACGAGAGAGACTCTAATTGAATCAATAGTGGTTTCTCAAGATGGTCTTGAGTTCGAGGAACTGGTACCAGAGGCATAACAATCCTAAATAACAGAAATTTAAACTTTTTCAGATATATAGACTCCTTGAGTTGCCCCTACTGAGGGAGGTGCAATATATCAAAGATGAAAAGCTTTTAAGCTAATTCTGGAAGATCATACGAAATTATTTGAGTAATACAATTAATTCAGTAATTCAGCAGTACACTCACTGATAAATTATCATACAAGCTGTATGACCCGCAATGTTGGAAATTTCCTAAGGAGCTTAGCGGGAAGAAAAATCTTACTGTGCGTGTGTGGGGGGAGGGGGTGTGGATTATAGGTGGTGCTCTGGTTGTATCTTCGACTTCATGTGGTGTATATCTTTCTCATCCCCTTCCGAATCCTCCTCACGTCGCTCCGGACCATCCTTCATTATTCTCTCTGTAGCTTCCCTATTCTTGCTACCCTAGGAAGCCATCTTTTCATTGTTTCGCATTCCCCGTAGCTTCTGCCGATATCTCCCCTCACTAAAGAGTCCCGAAAACAGCTTCTTTCTACTGTTTTCTGTTGTTCCAGTCGTCTGACCATCCATTCCAATACTTCCAGCTTGTAGCCCTTATCACAACTCCTACTCTTCGTTGTCGCCGTCCTTATCCTTTGTTGTTGCCTCGCCTTCCAGCCTTCACTCACTCATTGTTACCTTGTCGAAGGGCCAAAACCTTGCTGATAACCACCACTACCTCGAGATTCACCCTAATTTAAGTATATGTCATGTTTGTTATTATTTCAAATTTCTAGGTGTCGTGTGCTACATTTTTCCTTTCATGTTTATCAATTGTAATTACCTATTTGCTTTCAGTAATGATATTTAATTTTTTTGTTGTAGTTTGGGTTAACTCTTGTACAAGCCTCTCTTCCAAATTACTACCACCCTCTTCTCTTTACAATAAAATATTGCAAGCATCCTAATTAAATGCTATAATTAAAGGTAAAATCATGGATCAAGATGTTATAATTTGAGATTTCAACCCATTAAAATTTTTTTTAAAAGTTAATCAATTTATTAAGAATTATATTTACCATAAAATAAATGAAATGAATTAAAATCTACCATGATAAAATTTGTGTTAGTATGTATGCCTCTTCCATAATTAGCTCCAGCAATTACCTTTATCATTTATCTAAACTTATTATTGGCTATTTTAGGCATCTTAATAAGCCTTTTTAACCATATAATTTATACAAATTCAACACAAATCACAATTAACAATATATTATTGGCCTTTGAATGTGTAGCATATTGGCTGAAAATAAAGCCAAAAATATTAAAGTATTAGATTTTAACATTCACAGCTCAATATTTGTATTCGCAATACTAATGAAATATAGCCTTTATATATATATATATATATATATATTCTTTAGATAAAATTTTACAATTGAAATATATTTTGATTTGATTATTATTACTATTATTATTGGACATCCTTCTACCTAATGTTTCTCTTTATATCATCAAGACAATAATCAAATCCTAAGAAAGTATGGAGAAGCACTCCTCCTTTCTTTTTTTTCAATTATTTATTTAATCACTTCAATAATGATTGCTTAAAGGCATCTCTACATATAAGACGTGACCTCTCCTTTCTTAAAAAAACAAATCATTTGCCTTCCCAAACTTTAAACATAAGAGTGAATGAATAATTGTAGTGGTTCCCACGATCAAATGTTGCCCAACCGTAGTACACTTCTTTATACAAAGCATCACATTATAAAACTCTATTGCGTTTTCCATTAAGGTTTATTTTAGGCAATTTTTTTTAAAAAAAACGTAATTTTTTAGGACTTATTTATATATTTCATTTAATTTTAGGGCATCTACGTACATAGCCCTTGATTCCTCTGTATGTAAATATCCTACACTTGAATTTTATTTTTTCTTATATTTATGCTGCTCAAATATTTCATAGCACATGAAAAATATCATTATTATGACTTTTAAATATTGAAATATATTTTTTTCATACAAGAGTTTATGCCTTTTATGTGTGTGTGTGTGTGTGTGTGTGTCGTGTACCCATGCATGTTGGTTGGCATCCATGATATAAGACCTCTTAGGTCAAGAGTTCGAATCCCCTCTGGTATATTTGACCTTACGGAGATGGTACTTGAATTGTTAGACACATTATGGGTAGTTGGAGACTTGTATAATAGCCTCTGGTCATCCCTTATATATATATATATAGAGTAAAATTCATCTTCTTATTCATATGTTTTAAATTGATTGTGATAACAAAGAGTTTGAAGCAAATAT